CCCCCCCTTCAAACACACACTCGAGCACATACACACACAAGCAGTAACATGATTTTATCAAGGAAAATATCATATTCTTACATCATACTTACGAAGAAAAACAGACTACAACTACAAGATAATACAACCGAGTGCTGCTGCAGGTCGCCCAACCATCTTTTCTTTGTTCTCGCAACAGCAACCAGCTTTTCCTCAGGGACCCTCGTTGGTCCACTTAGCAGTAAAACAAACTCTGTTATCGCCGTACCACTTCTCAGATTAGACGACGTGATGACCCATACAGAATACTAACAGAAGTTACAATGTTGATATGAAGTCCATCAAAAGGATTTTTCTTCTCAAGAAAAAAACCCCTTCCCTCCACCCCCCTCTCATTTTCGCTACACTTAGATACATGTTAGATCGATTACATTCTTTGCGCGGTGGCTTTTTCGATAACATGGTAAATATTTTAATCTGTTGTACGCAATTTTATGTTTGCTGAGTGTTTCTGCATCGGGCTTAGTAGTAGTTGTTAGTGTTTGCGTGTGTGCGTGTTTCAAAGGCCTAGATCTAGGTGTGCACGCATGGTTGTTTGGGAGTAGGACATGTGTGCTCGTGAAAGGGATGGGTCAATCTGTGTGTGTCTGTGCGTGCACAGAAGTGTGCGTCCGTTTGTGCGTCTGTTTGTGTTTGTATGTGTACGTACATATAGAATCATCATCATTATTATTATTATTATTATTATTATTATTATTATTAATTACTATGTGTGTGTGTGTGAGAGAGAGAGAATAACTCCTCCGATTAGACACCCGCAAGCCGCAAGCTCTCGTACAGCCTCACAATAACAATAACACCCCCTGACCTGACCTCCCCATGTCCCCATTCCAGCCTTGTTGACGAGTCGAGCCAACGGGGCGTTCAAGGACGCCTGCATGAATTGACCGGATTTTCCCGGGCCTCGCGCGAAAAAGCGCGGCGTTCCTGCTCGTCGGTCCTCTTCCGTCGGCTGAATCTACAAAGCGAACGTCTGCAACCGTTCCAACCAGCGGCGGCCAGGCGGCCATAGCCTGCGTGCCCAGGTCTCACATGTCGTGTCTGCATCATGCATAATGATACGACATGGTTGTCCAGCGAAACCCATGGTGTACACGAAACGATACCGAAACGACATGGATAATGTTATGACTGGTTATGTTTTCAGTTTTGTCTCTATGTTTCTATTCAAACTTAAAGTAAAAGATTGTGTTTGGTACAGCGACCTGTTATGTTTTATCTCGATATGGTGTGTATGTGTGTGTGTGTGTCGTGTGTGTGTGTGTGTGTGTGTGTGTGTGTGTGTGTGTGTGTGTGTGTGTGTGTGTGTGTGTGTGTTGCTCTATATCATTTCGGCATATTATATTTGTATACTATACGTATCACTTTCAGCTGGTTCTTCATTTTACTTCATGGTATTGTGTCTTTTCTTTCCTTCTAGGTTTTCCCCCACCTTTTCCTTTCATTTCGATAAAACAGCCGTAATATCATGTCGGTGCGTGCCCCACTTAAACAATAATATAAAACATTGATTGGACGTGTTAAATCCTAGGTTACATTATGATTACTTGTGATGCATGTGATACAAGTTACCAGTGAAAATCAAAGGCGCATGCTGTCGTTTTCTACTTTTCTAGTATATAAAACAACTTGTTTCTGTTATAACTTATACAATGTATAGTTTATACATGTAGTAAGACAATGGGAGCTAATTTTTTAAAAGCGAATTTCGGGTAGTCTGTTTTATCGAGTACTATATCTTAACTAATTTGTCTTGATCTGTCGACCTGCATATCCTCTCAGCCTGGGTAGGCACTAACAGGCTAGGTCAAAGCAGCCCACCTCTTATTCAATTGTCTGAATTAAATTATCTTAAAATTGAGTCGATTTGGGGCTTATAACACCTTAATAACCATTTCAACAATCTCTGGTAACAGCTTTTTCTTGTTGTAGTAGAAGATCAGATATATAATAAGCTTATGTCTAAGACAGCCACCCATTGTCGTGGAGAAGAGTAGTTGTCTTTGACAGGTGGCCTTCTTACACAGTATCATTGCAATGTAAAAAAACATCTTTTAAAATATGCCTGGCAAATGGGAATAAGTGGCCCTTAATTAGTACAAGCGATTGTCTTATAGATCTACAGGTGGTCGTTACAGCAGGTTTGACTATATTTCCACCCCTCGGCTGACTGTTTAATTAATTCTGTCTGAAAGGAATGTTGTAATCGTTTAAAAAATGAAATCGCCCCCTCCCCTGCTCCCGCTTCCATGACATCAGTTTATTACATGTCACGACCAAGCCGGATTGTGGCACACACCTATAATTATATGTTAATGTGAAAGTGTTGCGCAAGCTTCATTGTGTCATTATAATTAAGTACGGAGTGCCTGGAGTAGGGTGCCACTAGTTAGGTCATACTTCCTTTCTTTCCATCGGTTATTTCTGTTCTGTCTGACTTCTTCTTTGCGCAATAATTATTATGACCGTTATTGTGTCGAAGTGCTTCTTTTCTTTACAAACAAACAAACAAACACGCAAACAAACAAACAAACAAACAATTAAGAGAGTGAAATGCCGAAGACGAGGACAGGAAAGATGCAGGTCGACTATGGACCATGGGCCATGGGCCATGGGCCTTTCTTTCTCTTTCGCATCGCAGTCGGACATTCTCATAACGATAATATACCCCCCCCCCCCTTAGATATACGATCTACGATTGTACTATGGCAGAATAGGCCTAGTAACGTAAGTTAAAAAAAAAAAAAAAAAGAATGACGAAAAGCTGGAAGACTGACTTTTGTTGAAAGAAGGCCCGCAAAATATTCTTATTTCAAATACATAGTGAGATTATTTGGATAACAACAGACTAGGTAACACGCACATGCTCACAAAGACAGACTGTGAGCAGTAGGTGCAGTGAGGGCATTATAAAGGCTATATTTTTAACATTTCATAATCTGCTCGTCTTTAACAAGGCTAGTCACCAATTCTGGACCCCCCCCCCTCAATCCCATTATATTATTCCCCTTCCAAAAAAACCTTCTGTCACTCCATGACAAGTCAAATCAATGCGATATAGGCCTATAGGGCATGTGAGCATTGGTCGCACCCACACTTAAACCTTAAACTTTTGATAGACCTCATTCTTTCAGAAGAATAACATTCTTTACCAATCCAATCCTTGGAAATCGAAAGTCCGTGCGTTATACACTATGGTTGTTTATTGTTAAAGTCATAATCGATGTCAGCTGTCGCCAGAAAACTGCTGACTCGCCACTAATAATATTATTTTGTGTCTTTGTTCTCGCCAGCCTTGTAGCCTAGTATTGATTGTCGTGTCGAGCGCCATATCTTTTCGAGTGCAGCGGTCATAGAGACAGACAGCAGCCATGCAAATATACTGGTGTTTCGATTGAAACCACACGCCTGCATCATGTCGGCGATCAATACATGCATGGTTACGCCCCTCCCCCTGAAGTGAGGTTTCCCACTCGAAGACCTCCGATGCTTTCGAACTGAGATTACAAGTCTCAAAAAGATCACAAATAGAATAGAGGTCAGTCAAATTCAAAGGAGAACTTTAAGCCAACAAAAGACAATCCGGGAAAATAAAAACCTACATTTTAACCCGTAGACCTAACCAAAACCAAACGCGTCACTAACAATAAAATAATGTTGCCTACCAATTATACTGACGAAACCCAGGATGGAGAGAGAGAGAGAGAGAGAGAGAGAGAGAGAGAGAGAGAGAGAGAGAGAGAGAGAGAGAAAGATCCAGTACTGTCTGGTTGTCTTTTCTCCACCAAGACCAACCAATCGGGATGACGATGAAAAAGAAAAAAAAAAAGGGGGGGGGGGGGGTAAAGAAATTTGCAGACTCTTGTTCAAATTCATTTGATGTAATCTGTGTCATAAGTAAAAATAAGTTTCCTTGGAGACCAACACTCGCAATAATTTATTGCGGGTGTTGGTCTCCATATTATAATTAAGCTCTTTCCAAGTTCATCGCAGCTCAGGCCGTTCAAATGGTAACATAGGTTAAAAATAGGATTGAAACTCGGTAAGTCAGGAGTTTATTTAATCTTTAGGATAAATTCAGTTGCTGACGGGGGAAATCCGACCGTATTTGAAGACATGCTAGAACGTGGAAACGTTGGGTGACCTCACTCATTTCCCCCTCTTGCAACAACCATTGCGTTTACTTGATGCAAGCAAACGTTCCATATTCCATCCATATGGCACACACACACAAGCATACACACAGACACACAGACGTTGTCACGTTGGCCAATCGTCTTGCTCAAAGCTATTTTTGTCTCCGTTGCCACGTGGGCAGACTAAACGAATGGAAAACGTCTGAGGCAAACATCATCTATATTTAGAAAATGAGGAAACATCTATTTTTAAGTTGAGGTACTCTTTAGGTTAAAATGTAACATTAAATTATTTTTTATTCATTTTGAAAACAAATTTGTAAAAAATATGAGTTTTGATGTGGAAATCATATTTAATTAGAAATTAAATGAGTAAATTTCATCTTTATAGTTGTATATACAGTGGCTATGGTTTTCCTGCTACCTTAAGTGCACCTCAAAACGTTGACGCTACGCAGGAAACGTCAGCGATATGTTAATAGATCTCTGGATTCAACCAGAATGTGCGTTGTTGGGGCTAGGCGGCCAAGTATATAAAGCTCTCGTCGGGCGTCAACAAATCACTTGCGGCCAGCTTCTTGAACAACGGGGACGGTGCGTTGAGCGTTGTGAAGATCCAGACATAACGTCCGAATTACTCTTAGTCATTCTAGATCTTGATTTAGCTCAAAACTCTAGAGAACCCTAGACTCCGACGTTGTCTTTAGAAATGTTTGTAACCGTTCGCCCCATGTCGGGGCTGATTAGATCAAGATGTAGCTTTAGTTGCTTGAATCAGGAAGTAGGGGTAGCGCAAGGACAAGGAGGTCAGTCTCGGTTACTATTGCTTGGCCTGAAGATGAAGTATGGTAGGCCTAGATGATCTTGATCTATCTTCTTCGACTGGTTGAAAGAACTGCTGTCTCTTTGAGATAATGTTAAATGGTACTACTATAGAGATCTAATCTAGATATCTAGATCTAGTTCCAATGCCAAGTCAAAGTTAAGACTTCTGAGCCGACTGTTCGATGAAAGTTTCCAGCGGCCACGCAACAGTCGACCCGACAGAAAGGTAAGTCTCAGTTGTTTTTGTCAAACTTTCTTAAACTCGGGGTAAATTTGTACTTTCACTCCTTCATGCAGTTGTACTGCAATTGAGAGTCAAACTTCTAGATTAAGATCTAGATCTACCTGTATTTTCAACATTAAACACTTTTTGGCTCACTATCCATTCAAATCCAGTTATATGGGCACTCCTGTACAACTGCGGTCCCGTTTGAGGATACTAGTTTTGACCCCACTGATGATTACTTCTGGTTCTGAATTATTACTAGATCTACTTTTTGATGCGCGTGCCTATGGAGAGATAGCTTATCAAACCTAATTGCAAAGGCCGCAGCCATTGGGACTCGAGTCCCAACAGCTGTGGGAGGCTATTTTTGGACTCTCGAGTCTGAATTCGAGTCCAAATAGCCTTTCGTGGCTATTCGGACTCAAATCCAATTCGCTTGCATCACTAGGTGTACCAGATGTGAAGCAGACAAGCAATTAGACCTTGGCCTTCCTCGGTTTCTACGATCTGGCCAAGGAACTTACAAATGGGCGCCGACCGTGGTGATCCAGTGCGAACTGTGGTCTTTTCTGTACAAAGGATAAATTAAATAGTAGGGCTGGGCAGCAGAGGGCAACGGCATGGGAGGGAATATAGATCTATATGAAAAAAAAAATGGGGTGAATGTGGTGGGGCGGGCCTGGGGAAGTAAGATTGAGAGGGAAAAGGTAAGAGAAAGAGAGAGGAAAAGTATGGGAGAGAGAGAGAGAAAAGGGAGGGGCTGTCTTATAAGGATTGATTATGAATTTTCTGTTTTGATCCCTTCGTAGTCGTGAAACGCAGTGTAATAGCCATAGTTCAAGGGGGGCAAGCCCCCCCCCCCCCCTGACCCCCTCCCTTGCCTTGTTAAAGACAAATTTTACTGCTCATTTTGTAGGCTAGATCTACTGATGAAACATAAAACATTGATACCGACTATTTAATTCAGAATCGATACTCTGTGCTAGGCCTAGTGAGTGATTTAGTGCAAACTCAACGGAAATTGTACAGGAGTGCCCTTGAAACAGAAAAGGCATGAAATTATTGGCCAATCCTCGTTTTTTAAATAGTACAATAGATTTCCTATTAGCGGATATGAAAGAAAATATTGAGTCAGCACTGACATTAACCTTCAGTTTGATGGGCCATATGACATGGTTTGTGTGTGTTTAGTTGATGTTTTGACATTTTCCTTTGGTGGGTAGGGGCATAAAACTAGGTCAGGGGAAACGCTGTAGGCCAGTGGTGGATTTTGGCCTGGTGGGAAAAGAGTTTAAAAACAAAACAAACTCAAGAAGATTCCTCCCTGAAGCCCCCCAGATAAAAAAAGGGAAGTAATTTGCATTTTGCAAATGAAACTGGAGTGAAAGCAAAGGCAAAAGTGTGTCCAACTTCGAAATTTAAAAAATAAAAATAAGGAAGCAGAATTTAGTATGATGTTGATCCTCTGTCAAATCTAGTTGACATCTCTAGATTTTGTCATTACGCAAGGAGGCATGTCACTTGTGCCTAAAATCTACTCAAATTTTGTTCGTTATAATCATACTTTTTAGGGGGATGTGTATTGAGGCCTACAAAGTATGGCTACTGTAATGAAATGGCTGTTTGCGTTACAACACCCTTAAATTGTGTAGGTCGAATTTTTGTGAGAGGGTGTTAAGTACTTTCTTTTCCGTGATGGTTATTTAGTTGTTGGCTTTCATTCACACTCAACTTTTAAACCTTGATAACTGTTCTGCATTTAATTTCAAGTCCCTGTCCTCTTTTGAGAGTTTTTGGAATGGATTGTTTTTGTTCTGTTTTTTTTTTTCACCTTTGGTGGGCTTTGTTTGGATGTTTTTTATTTTTGCTTTTATTCATGTATACGTATTGGTTTTGAAAACATGATCATTTGGACACCTTGTGTCACCTCTTTGTCTTTTAATGCCACAGTGTATTTTATTACTGATAATTTCTTTCAGAATCGGGATTGCTGTAGGCTAGAGGAACGTTATGAACTAAGTGCCAGACATAGTGTGTCAGCTTGTCATACCATGAGTTGCCAGCGATCACTATAAGAAAAGGTGCTTATATGTAATTGTTTGAAGCGTCTTGTTTTCGTTGAATTTGTCTGTATCTTTCTGTCATTATGTTTAGCAGTTTAAGAGAAATTACACAGCTATAGAGCCAGTTGAATATCTAACTTGAAATTTTTTGATTTTCTGAAAGCAAAATGCTGGGGGGGTTCGTAGCTAGTTAGACAACTGGTTGAAGAGAGATGCGTAATTCAGGAAGGGGGAGTTTGTTGCGATGCACCATAAAAACGATATTGGAATTTGACTCGATGTATAGTTATGCTATTTGGGATCCTCATATATTGTTGAATTTAGGGCAGGAAGGGGAATCCGAAGTGATCGTGGTAGTAGATTTAAGGATTGGTTAGGGGTACCTTTGGTGGTGCATCAATATGTAACTCCTTCCTTGTTGAACATGATGACTGATTATAGATGACCAGTTTTACTGTTATTTCTTTAAAGTATTATTAGCTATCCTTATAACTATCTAAAAAATGAAAATGTGTGGATTTGTTCCAGTGAGCGTGATTTTAGTTGGTTTACCCTATAAACTACATTGTTTAGGGGATTAAGTAATCCTTGAAATTACTTATACTGATTTGGTTTTAAATGGGTTGTTGACTCCTCCCCCAACATTCCCCTCTTTTCCTGCTCCCCTCATACTTGAGATGTTAGCACAGTCAACTAAAGCTTTGCTTAACTCAATACATTTGATCTTTTGTCTTCTCTTGAGCTGTATTTATCTCTGTTTGCACTGTTCTTTTCCCTAATGGGTATCCAGGTTATAGATGACGTATGCAAGACCGTGATTTGGCAGTTCCTTCCCACCTCAATTGCGCAACCAGAGTTGTGCTCTGACACCGCGGGGCATCTAGGTTAAAGGAGAGTCGATGACGCTTTGTGGGTTGTCCCCACTCGGGTTGCATTCCTCGTTCCATTCGTGTCTGGTTCTGCTTCCGAGTATGAGTGGAATTGCCAGGCCGTCCTCCCGCGGAGCTGTGACCTATCTTGCTTTGGGGTGCGCCTGGTAGGGATACTTGAGGTTCAGCAGTTCATGTCTCAGAGCTCGTGGTACAGACGCAAGCTCTCACGACACACATGTAGTTTGTGTCAAGCGGATTTCCTCATGTAGTTATTGGAGATATAAAATGGACCGTTGTGTTTTTATCTGAATTCCCTCACTTCTTGATGCCTGCAATTCCTTCCCCCTTTTCCCTTAAAAGTGGACTTCACCGAATTTGTGATGTGTACAAAATGGAACAGACACTAAAAATTTAAAACTTTTTGCAGACTGTTGTACAGTCTCCAGTTTTAATAAAATTCTTAACTGTAGATAACAAGTTGGATTGCTGATTTAAGAATATATATTTTCAAATCAACTAAGCATGAAAGTTAAAAGATAATAAAATGGCATACACAAAAAAAAAAGAAAAGAAAAACAAAATCTATGCCAAGATATTGAACATTCGTTGTAATTTAATAGTTGATGAAGTAGCAACTCATGTTTTTATCATGTATGTGGTTATGGGGGAAATAATTCCCACAGACCAAAATATGAATGGAAAAAAATTCTGCCTCAGATCACGGGCAAAGATGATAATAAATAATTCGTCAAAGATCTGCATTTCTCTGCGTCATGTCTGTCAATGTGACTACTACTCCTGTTTTTGTAGTGCTACTTACTTTCTACTATGCAGTACCGTACTCAAGAAACCCCCCTCAATATGATGAGGTTAAATTTTTAGAGAAAGGAGACAATAATTTCAAGTAGACTTTGTCCATTCTCCTGATTTGATGGAGAAGAATTCAATGTAGATCTAGATCTAGTCGAATTCAGTTCAGGAAGAGAATTTCCAGTGGATAGCCGTTGACCCCTGCTGCGGTTGCAGGAAAAGCATAAGGATCATGCTTCATTCATGGCTAGTTATTTTGGGTATAAAAATTCCATTAAAGGCCTGGGAATTAATTTTTGTGCTGGCCATCCCTTGGTGGTTCTTTGTCCTTTTGGTCAGGTCTCACGGGATACGTTTGCATTGTCAGAAATGTTTGACTTGCAAGCTTAGACTGGCGTCTGTTGGTTAAATTTGTTAGGCTTTTCACTGCTGCATGCAGAAACTTGGTGTTTAATTCATGAGAGTGGAAGTTGATTATCAATTCTGTTTTCATTCTGTTGGGATGCTATATCTCACAGCCAGGGTTGGCCATAACTGACCAGCCGCCTCCTTTTCCCAAATGATCGAAATTGAGTCGATGGAGGCTTAAAAATCGGTAAAAATTTCAGGCTGTTGAGCATGTTTAGTCCTCTTGGAAACTTGTTTGTTTTCCTTTCACCGTTTCAAGTGCAGTACTTTTGTTATCATAAAGACACAGTAGATCTGAAAGTCCATTCTACAAGAGTATAGTAGCCGATTGCAGATTTTCTTTTCTGCTGTCGAAGAAAACGCTTTGTTGAGCATCTCGGCACTAGGCCTACCGTTACTTTTGTCTTTGCTCTGTCTGTACACACATCCTGTTTGTATTGATGTGGGTGTTTGTTTCCAGTTTTCTTGTGATTGTTGTCATGTTTGTGAGATGTTTTTGCTTTTTAAAAAAAAATCTTGTCTTTCTCTCTCTGATCGGACTTGAGATCAAAGTGTCTATCTATAGTTCCACTTCTGCTTCTACTATCTTCTTCAACTTGTCCTTGTTTGCTATTGCTTGATCTTTTCTGTAAGGCTTTCCTTTACACCTGCTGTAAAATTGTAAAATCTTGTCGCCTATGTGTACTATGTGATGGTTTGTGAACTTGTTTTTGTGCTGGCCTTCATATTTTTTTTCTCTAGTTTGGTTGCCGTATTTCTCCACTGGAAGTCCTGTCTGTCAGAATGCCTTTTTCATGGTACAATACTGGTTCTTGTGATTTTTCTTTTCTGTTTATTGTTTCCTCCCTTTGTTTTTTCTGTCTGCCTTTACTTTTCCCCTGTTTTAAAAGGTTATCGTTTTGGTTACTGTCAATCGTGTACTCCTCTTTCTACTCAAACTTGGAACTAAACCTCAACTTGTAGTTGTGGGATGTCAAGCCAACCTGTGTATCTCTGGCACACTGCCTTTGCCTGTCCTGTCTCTCTTTCTCTCACCTCCTGTGACACTGAAGAAACAAACAAGCTTCTCCCGAATCCTGCCACTTATTGCGACTGCTGCCAAGTTGAAAGGGGCTGTCTGGTCTGCCAATATAAATCAATTGAAGGTTGCAAGTTCATGGTGTGATTGCTGACAAACGTTATTGGTTCCGCTGAATACAACGAGATGGTCTGGTTGTCGAAGTGGTACGGTATGTATATGAAGGAATAAGTATCGTATGAACAGAAATTTCAATTGTCAGTGTACCGATTTCGTCTTTTGTACTCGCAACTTTTCTTTGTATTTTGACATTGCGATACCGTCTCTAGAATTAGTTGGTACCTACATGTTGTTCATGTTCATCCTATCCCCAACCCCACTTTATTTTTATGGTGTTTTTTGACAATGCCTTTTGTTGTTATCTCCCCATTCCCCCATGTTCTTATCATTGAATATGTAATGCATTATAATTCATTCTAACCAATATGTTATGACAAACCCATTCCCAAAGTTTTTAAAAATTGTTTTCAATTCCCTGACACAGTGCGGGATCTATACTTACTTTTTCTATTTTATAAGTTTTTATTTGCTTGACTTGCTTTCTCTTTTGCTACTAGCTCCTCTGTGTGCTAGGTAAATTTTTTTCAGCTTCCTCTGAACATTGAACATGAGTTGCACCCAGAAAAAGTCGTGAAAATTGTTTCCTGCTCACCTCTTCTATGGCCCTGATACATGCACCGAAGTTGACTGTGTGACCTTGTGCTTTCAGCTCTACTGCTGCCTTTCCAGCTGTATTCACCACAGCTGTATGATCGAGCACATGTGTTTTAACTTGTATGCATCGTTGTCTCATGACTTTTTCATACGTCAGTTTTTGGAGGACTTTGCATGTAGACAACTTCTTTGTTTGGATGGGGTGTGAGAGTGTTGGATTTATCTTTAGCTGGACATTTTGCTCCGTAAAATTTGAGAACATATTTAGTGGAATCCCCATTGTAGTATGCGTCTGCCTTTATTTTTATATGCGCAACTTTTTTGTTTGTTTGTTCAAAATACACTTTGGTATATGAAACGCGACTTTTACTTAGGATCATATCGTAATGTTAGGTTTGATGATTTAGTTTGTTGCTCAACTTTGGGTCTGGACTGACTTGCTTATTAGACATGCACTGTTTACTGCTTCCTCTCTTTTCATAATGTGGTCCTGCCAACATTATTATCTTGTTGCGATTTCAGCATTAACATCATCGCTTAGGCCTTCATCTTTTTCTGTTTTATTGTGTGGGCCCCCCTCCCCCCACCTTCGCCGTCACTTGATACTGGTAATACTCTTTTTTGTAAAAAGACCCATTTAGTTTGGTGTTGGGTGAAAATATTACTAACCCATTTTGTGTTGATTTTTTTTTGGTCGTTTACTTTATATTATTCTCTTAATACATTAGTTTGAATGTCGTTGATTATGGGAAACGGAACATTTCGTTAGACAAGTCAAGTCTCTTTGAAAATGGATACCCTTGGCTTTTGTTTGTCTGGTGCCATACTGTTTGTTTGATACTTTTGTATTGTATGTTATCTGTCGATGGAGTGCCTTGTGGGACTTGTGAACGGCTTAAATAGTTGTTGTGTTTTTTCTTTGTGTGAAAATTGATCCTGGGTGGGAAAGTCGTGTGCTTTGCGGTTGTTAGAAAGTACTGGATGCTCCAACTGTGTTGGCAAACTTTTGTTTCTTATTATGGGTGTGGTGATGTATTTATAAGAAGAAATTGATTGGGGCCGTCTGTCGGAACATTGCGGTACAATACTCTGCAGTACCTGGTAACACTTCCATGTGGTGGAAGCAGGAAGAACTGATTTTGACGAAGAAGGATCCTGTACTGAAAAGCTATAATTTGTTTGTTGCTTGTTGTTTTGACAATTGTCTTGATTACTGTACTAAAAACTCCCAACAAACAAATACCTCCCCCCCCCCCCTCCCAATGGTGCCTAAAGGATGGAAAAGCACATACCGATTTGATTGATACAACTGTTTCTTTCAGTAACGTACGCCAGCATATTGGTTCGACTGACTGAACTTTTGTTTGTTTTGTGGCTACATTGATGATTTGCTTTACATGGAAAAATGTATGTTCATAGACCCACTAAAATATATAGAGGCTATATATATGCCAAATCTACTATGAGCATTCATTCAGTAATAGAACACTAATACTTTTCTTTCTGCCTTGGAATATCCACTGCTCACAAAAAAAACATACAAATACAATGGGACAATATCCATGAAGGAATTAATTGAAATGCTGATGTAAAAAGAAAAAAAGAAGAAAAAAAGGGCAATATAATATAATGCAAATGAAAAGGAAAAAAAGGCCAAAAAACCATGGGCACTGCGTTGATTTTTGTTCTGTGTATAAAATCATATCTCTGCATTACTTGTTGCCGATTGATTGCTCTATATGGGAAAGTATACTTTTACATGAAAAGTTGAAGGAGTTTGGGATGGGTTGGTAATGTCATGCATAGAGAGTGCATTATACTGTGTTGTTGTAGGCTACAGATATTTAAATATGTGGTAGACGATATGTTTTGTATTTTTTTTTTAGGTGGCAAGGATATATTGTGTTATTCGCAAGTCTTAGTCTTTGATAGATTGTTCACATCATATCATTTGTATTAATTTCTGTTACAATAGATTTTGAGTACGTTGTACGAAGCTTTATAAGTTTTACGTGCTGTTTTCCTCATTGGCAAACTCGGGTAGTCCTAGAATCCTTCTCGTGGCGAGATTTAGTCTAGTCTTGATAGACCGATTGTGGTCATTTTGTTGAAGATTGATGATGCTGGTTTTTTTTATTGGTACCGGATATTGCTAAAAATTTGTACTGTTGGTTTTTATATTGGCTCACGTTAAATAAGTACTTGTTGTACTGGTTTACAGTTCACTGGCACCTTATTTTTGCTGCGCTGAATACATTATGTAATGGTCTGGGTTGATGGAAATGGGCTATGTGATGGTTGCTTACACTATTGTTGTCATAAATTTAATTTTCAGAGTAGGTTGTTGGTGGCTTTGTGTTACTCCGAAATCCTTAACATACTCTAATAATCAACTAGGTGCTGTGTCGATAGTGCCGTAAAACATCTACCGAATCAATCAATCAATCAACTAGGTGCTAAGTTTATTGTCCTAGAGGTGTTTTGTTATCAAAATATTCACCTTTTGTTTTTGGATAATCTGGTGATAAATAAGTATTGACTTTCTTTTGAAAGATATAAAATGCATTGTGTGTATAGTTGGTGCTTATTGAATAGATTCCAATGAAACCTAAGCCCGTGTAGACTGCACACATAGGCTGTCGTTACTGGATGTGATTGTACCTATAGGCTATTGTTAAGGGGTGCGGAGATAGTTTCTAGAAGAAAAAAGTAGGCAAAATTCAAGTTTGAAAAATGGACGTATTTATTACGAAGTATGGGGAAACAAGTGAAAATGTGGTAATCGTTAAAAAATAATTGTTGTACTTTATGTGCTGTTACAGTACAGGTAGTTCTTCTAGAGTGTTATTGGTCAAGAGTATTGAAGTGAAGCTACTGGATGGTAGGTCATACTTCTCTCAACTTTCGCTTGTCATTTTCATCTGTATTCTATTTCCTGCTAACTTTCAGTGATGGATGAATGTGCTTCTTGGCGTGTATTAAGCAGTTTCGTAGGTCATGGGCGCAATGTATTACGTTTTGTACGCATTACTGTATATAATGGTTTTGCTTGTAAAAAAATACAGCAAAATTTTAAATTTAAAAAAATCCCAATATACCAACTACTACATTGAAATGAATTTTGGACCAGAATCCACGAAGAAACAGTGTTGATTAGTAATATTAGTAATAATATGTAGTAATAAATTAGATTTTTTAAATAGTGCAGTTGTTGTGTTATGGTTTGAAGATTTGCAGTGTAGATTAGGTATACCATGTGCAGACACAAGTAGTGGTAGGAGAGATAGTATTGTACTGCATCACATCCTCATGAATGTTAATAAATGTACAGTACTGAAATTGCTTATTTAGTGAGTGAGATGGTATTGTTATATTTGTAGTTTGGAGGATTAAAAATATGAAAGTGTTCTATCTGAAATTGATGGGAAGTATTGTGCTTTGAAATATAGAGGGGGGTATGCCATACTGTAGATAGGTCATACTGTAATATACATTGAAATTGGCAACATGGTCATACGCGTTAAAGAAACCCTTGTAGACGAGTATTATTTGTACTGAAATTGATCATATTATTAGGTGTTCCTCGTTTGATAAATTGTACCAACTTTTGATGATAGATTAGGTGCTTGTTGAAATTGGTAATAGAAAAGGCACGAATTGATTTTACTGAAATTTGAAATAATTATAATAGTTCAAGTTGTATAGTAGCTGCAAAATGTCTTAAACTGGTCATAAGGTAGTTACCACAAAGAAAATGTCGGTATTTGAAAGCAGATTTTCCTTTTATTGGATCAGAAAGAGCTATGGGAACAATGAAATTCAGTGTTCAAATTTGAAGTCCGACAATAGTTAAAGTTTTCGAGGTTCAAATTCATTTGGACGCGGAAAATTTCATGCAACATGTAACAAACTAAAAGTAAAAGTGGGACTGTCATACAATCGTATATAATGACAATGCACAATGTTCAAGATAATAGAAACAAAAAAATCTCTAGGTTTATAATTCTGATTCTGTAAAGCCACAAAGATGTGTGAAAATAGCTTTTTTAAGAGCAATTTTTGCTTGCTACATCCCAAAAGGCGACTTTTAGAGGTCCGTTACTTAAAAATTTGTTCTTTTGTTATTATGTCAGACCTTTATAAGGCTATTGATAGTAAGTAATGCAGGGTACAAGTTCAATTTTTTTTGCTGGCAAAGGACAAAAGCATCTGAAAAATATGTATGCAGTTGCAAATGTTAAACAAGTGACCCCTCTGGCCGGTAAGCAAAAAGAATGCGCAATAATACTATATTTTAATATTTTATTTCTTTTATGTGAAAAGTGAAATTTATTTCTATGAAATTTGGGGCTCAATGTAAGAATGATTAAAACATGAATTGTTTTAATTTTAAGTATAGAAAAGAGAAAAGAACCATTAATTGTACTGTACAGTATAATTTTGCTCACACTAGTATACGTGACATATGCACCTCCACAGTTTATCTTGATGAAGCAAGTAGGCTAGTAACATTAATGAATAGTGGTCCTGAAATTAAAATGGCTCTTTATTTATGTGAATGCCATACTAACCTATTTTTTAAAGAAAATATTATGTGCACCAGTTTGTAGGTACAGTAGGGCCTACAATGCTTTTCTTTCGGTTGAGACAAGGCGAAAATTGCATTTTTAAATAAAGATGAGCTTTGCAGGAAATTGGTCATAGAGCCAACTGAAATGAACAATAGAAAAAGTGTATATTATGTGAAAGTGGTCATAGACTACATGTCATGTACTGAAATGAGCAACAGGGTAGGTAGTACTGTATATTGTTTGAAATTGGTCACAGTATAAAATGGAAATGTGAACATATTGTTTGTATAGTGTGAAATTAGTCGCAGAGTAGGCTTTTATGCTATTGTGTGAAATTGGTAATAGAAAGTATACTGAAATGAACAATAGTTCATGAGTATTGAGTGGGAATTTATCACAGAGTAGGTGGTTGATTTTACTGATACAAGAATAATTGTTGTGAAAATAAAGTTAAAAGTTATAGAGTAGTATATTATTGTTTATATGTTAAAGAATAACTGCAAATTTTGTTGTACTTGGTCATAGAGTAGGTGTTATTTGATTTTACTGAAATTGTTCTAGGGTCAGATCCAAATAGTGTCGAACAAGAGCAAGTGTGTGTATTGTTTGACATTGAAAAATGAGTAGGTCCATATTGAGTGAAATTGTTCATAGGGTGGCACTCACAATGAAATAAGCAATGGAATATATCTATGTGTATATTTTGTTAAACGATCATAGACTATGTGGAAATAAACAATAGAGTAAGTGCAATATATGGTGTGAAAGTGGTCATGTAGAGTACCAGTATACTGAAAATGAAAGTGAAATGAGCAGGACCAGCAATAGCAGCTGTGTTAATTAATTGTGAACATTGGTTATAGGTATGAATTCATTTTTCTGAAAGCGAGAATAGAACATATATTGTACTATAATAATTATAATAGTTCAAGTTGTACAGTAGCTGCAAAATGTCTTAAACTGGTCATAAGGTAGAAATTTATTTGACTGAAATTGGTTTTGGAGTAGGTGCAACAGGGTTGTGTGAAATCAAACAGTAGAAAAAAAATTTATATATATATTATTATATGTGCATATGGTCAGGCCTCCATACTAAAATGAGCTCTAGAATAAGTGTCTGAAATTTGTTGTAGACTACTGAAGTGACCAATGGAGTAGATTATATTGTGTGAAATTGGCAATAAAGCATGGAAATGAGCAACAGTGCTTATAATTATAATGTGAATTTGGTCATAGAGTGAACAGAAATGAGCAAACGAATAGGTGTACAGGATATATGGTGTCAATTTGATCATGTAATATATATTGAAATTAAAAATGAACCAAGTATTTTGGTGCATATTTTGTGACATTGTCTTGGAGATGAACTATGGAGTAGGTACATATGTTCTGAATATTGGTTATTATAGATTATACTGAAATGAGCGACAGAGAAGGTTATTGAGTTAACAATGTTAACATTGATCGCAGAATGGGTGTGTATTGGGAAAATTGGTGGTAGGTAGTAGGTAGATATATTGATTTTACTGAAACTGAAATGGAAAAAAATATGATGTACTGGTACATTGGAGTCCACTTAAACCGAACACAGATTAATCTGAAAGAAAATCAAAGTCCCTGATTTGTTTTCTTGTCTTTGTAAAAAAAATAACATGTTGATGAGTGGAAATGCCCCTCTTTCTGAACTAAAACTGGGTCAGGTGTATATATTGTTTCGAAATTGACTAGTGGGAATTTATTATAGAGTAGTTAGCTCTACTGCTTACCATGGGGCTATTATGTTTGATAATTTGTCAGCTTACTGAAATTTATTATGATCTCAAATGGGTCTCTTTTTTGAGGCTTGCAAGGCCTGAACAATGATGTCTCATACTAAAAATACTGTTATTAGTTGATAATTCTCTAAATTATGCTCTGTTGAGTACTGTTTGGAAATTGTCACATTGTTTTGGTATCTGACTGATAATTCGTCCTCTACCGGCTGTATTGTTGTACAATAGTCTCGAACGAAAATACAATTTTACTACCGTTGGTACCACAGCTATGACTGTAATCTGCATTGAGTGGTCAA